GCCGCCGCAAAAATTCCAAGATCACGAGATGGTGTATGTTATAAGTGAGTATTTCCTTTCTTTCAAATCTTAATGATTGTAATTAATCTTTAATCTATTATTGCAGAGTTATCTACTGGACAGTCGAGCTCGTTGCGTCTTCGGCGATCGGTCAATAACCCTGACAATCCTTGGAATTTGCGGTATCTGGGACATCACGACACTGACAGGAATCGCCTGGCGCTGGCTCGAAGCTGTGTGGACTGCAACACTTCTGCCAGCATTTCGCAGTTTCTTCAAGAGATGGGATTTCGACTGGAGTTTGAGTTTGTCTTACGCGGACACATGTTTCGCAAAGGGCGAATGAAAGTGGTTGTCTACAAGATATACCGAATCAATGGCGGTAGCGGTATCTTAAACGGCAGTATAATTCCCAATCTGAATGATGTCCTTGAGCCAATTACAAACTCCAATTTGGTCGAGTTGAGTGTCATTGCGCCTACTCACCAGTCTTCTATTGCTGAAGAAATGAAACAATTTTCCGACTTGCTTAAACCTCTGGTTATGCTGGAAAACGTTGATATGCGAAAGCTCAATACATGATGCATTTCTCTCTTTATCTAATCTAATTTTCATTAATTCATTAAAACATTTAAACTAAATCCAATGTTTCTGTTGTTTAATTTTCTAAAAAATCTCAAATTTTTAATTTTTGGAAAAATGCAAAAAAGTATTGTTAAAATGGTGACGATCTATTTGAACAGGTGGTGTGCAGGCTTGTTTTGATTTGAAAAACGTTTTCAAAAAGTGCCTTCAGTAAACAAATCAGTCGTTTCTATCACCATGGCTAAAGGTAATGCAATGACGATGAAATTTGTTATTTAACTCTAGTTGTTTTAGTTTCAGAAGAATGGAGGTTAAAAGGAAACAAATGCTTTTCGGAAGGTAAATTTGAAGAAGCGATAAAGTGTTACACTGAAGCAATAGGTGCCAACTCTACAAATGCCGTCCTTTTTTCTAACCGAGCTATGGCAAATATAAAACTGCAAAGGTAATTTAACTTTTAATTAGACGATATTCTAACATTTTTTTCAGGTTTTTTGAAGCCGAAAATGATTGCAGTAAAGCGCTTGAACTGAATAAGTCTTTAGATAAGGCATACTATCGACGGGGACTATCTCGCAAAGAGCTTCATCTGTACAAATCAGCTTTTTCCGATTTCAAAAAAGCACTTGAGCTATCGCCTCATGACGAAAATGTCAAAAAGGAAATTGATTCTCTAAAAGTGCTCTTGAACACAACATCAAAACTTCGAATACTTCCAGTTTCCAAAGTCAATCAGTTACAGTCAAAAGCTCCTATGAAAAAAATTACAATTCAAAATGTATCAACAGATTCGAAAAATGTTGACATTGATCTTGCAGATAACATTAAGAAGCTCGTCTTTTCTCGCAATCCAAAGAATCACAATGAATTTGAGTTTGACTGGCGACAACTTTCAGTGCTCGGAATTGAACACAAACTAGCCTATCTAGAAGCGATTAGCCTTCCAGCTTTGGAACACATTTTCAAGTTTCCTTTTGAGCCAAAAATACTCTTGGAAGTACTGCAAACCTTAGCTCAATCCAAAAATCAGATGTTTGTCTTTAATGTTCTTCGGCTAATCACTAAAATGCCTCGATTTAGCTTAAGTGTTAGCTTCTTTGACAAAGAAGAATTCCAAGGTAACACTGATTGTAATAGTTGGTTAACAGCTTTCAATAACTAAAAATTATTTTTTCAGCTCTAGGCACCATTTTCCAAAACATGTCTGGAGAAGTAAACAACGCACAAGTCATCGAAATGGCCAAAAAGTTTAACGTCAAATTAAATTAATTTTGTATTACTCAATCGCTTTCGCTTTCACTTGGTGGCAAATCAAGGTTCCGATTCTGTTCAGTTATTGTACTCTTGTCCATAAATTCTGACTGCATTTTTATAACATCTTCAGAATTGGAACACGTGGAGTATCGTTGGAGAATTTCCTCATTGAGATCACTGAATGAAGGGCCCCATTTAAACTTGCTCAGGTACAGGTGAAAGGCATCGTCCAGGCTGAGAATTTTCATCGCCCCCGCAAGTGCTTCGACACAGGACAGTTTGCAGGGGGTGCCATAGTTGACCGGGTTAGCTGCGACCATGTACGGCAGAAGGCGTAGATGTCTTCCCTTCATCTTATGAAAGGGAGTGTCCTCCAGTCGATTCCAGGAGCAGTCCACCACAGCGAGACCATGTTCGAGGGCGATATCACGATCAGAGGGAGAGACGCACTGCGTTGCTACAGGTGTAAGCACCAGACCATTGAACCGCTGACCGAGCTTCAAGATTCGACACAGTCCAAGGCGAACTAGCTTTCGACCTGTACAGCGCTTGGGATCGCAGTGTTTCAAATCCCACATGGCCACATTTAACTTTATTTCCGGGGTTTCGGCTGCATCCTCGGTGGAATCATCTGAATCACTTTCCCCCTGACTGCTGTCATCTGAAGTGGCACCTCCCTCCTCCAAGTCGCCTTCCGCTTCGAGCTCTTGAAGTTCTTCATTTTTGAGAATAACATTACTTGTTGGCTCGTCATCTGGTAAATCACGATCTTCATTTGAGCCCTTGGCTCGAGATGAGAAATGATTGTGTTTCTTTGATTTTCCCATAATGTTTGCCGCAACAACAACAAAACAAGTGAACCACGTGATCGAGCGTCAAATGTGCGCACACTGCGCATTCAGAGCCAACGTATTGATTGCGTAACGCAGATTTGCCAAACTGTTATCAAAAGTAACGGCACTTTACTAAAATACGGGCATATCATTTTTCTATGTATTACTCATCTAAGCTTTAAATTGTTTTCTACCGATAAAATACTAATTAGTTTGTTCATGTTTTTAAATTGTTGTTAGCCAATTTGATAAATCGCAAGTTGTTACATCATTGTTCCCAAATGAGGTAGACAGTAAACATAGAAATTGGACAGACTCGAGACAAGTTGATGCAGCACCGAACCCACTGCATTGTTCAAGGCAACTTGACCTGGTAAATGTAGGTTAGGGAAGGTGAGAGGACAGTGGAAGTACAACACACACACACACTCAATGCTGGACATTAAGGTTCAAAAGCATTTTTGAGCAGCTCAGTCGCAAATTGAGAGGAGCATGCGCTGAAGAGTTTGAGCCTTGTTTTGCCCACGAGTCACTCAATGTTTTTCTTTCTCAGACGACGTTCATGTTTGGGCCCTGGTTCATTCATTCCCTCTTCATCCTCTTCATCTTCCTTCTCTTCGATTTAGGTTTTCAGACTCAGCCTCTTCTCATACGGCCTGAACATCGTTGACTCAACACCTTTGGCTTCAACTTTTGGCATTTTCAATCTACCACTCTCGCTCTCTGCCAATCTCTCCTCTGTACGAGTAGTAGAGATGCGCACAGTTGGCCAAGTCACTCGCACTTTTTTCAGTTTGTCTTTCCAAGTCTACCAATCTTGCTCATCATCAACGCATTGCACTTATAGAGTGGGATTCTATTTTGTGAACCTCGCCCATTGATGCACATCTGCTGATTCGCACATTATCTCATACCCCTTCCAATGCACATATGAAACGGTTGCCACTTGATTAAGCTTGGAATCTACCACTAACGGTACCTCCTACTCAGTGTACCCTACTTTGTTACTCTACTTTCATTTTTACACTTTTATCGGCAGTATACGAAAAATACAATGACTATTCTACCGAAAAAGAAACAAAACAAAAACAACGGGGACGATGATCGTGACAAGGATCATCCCAATGAACGGTACAACTATGCTCAGATTAGCAACTCCAACCAGAATGGCCAGATTTCACCCAATAGTCGAAATTGGTCTTCTAGAAGTGACGACAAGCGTTCAGCTCCCGATTCCGACTGTCCGAGTGACCATTCCAACTTGGGAAATCCTCACATAAAAAGGCGGCATCGAAATAACCGTGAACGTGATGGCAACTCTGATCTGACTCGGTCGCTCATCGGTTCAGTTCGAAACAAGTCTTCCCACAACAGCCCTTCGAGTTCACCCCGAGACTTAAACCGGGGCAATGTTGATGGTGATCTTTGCATGCCGGGATCTAGCGGAATGATGACGCGACAGGAGAGCGAATTGGCTCACTCGGGACTGATTGTTCCCAGAGTGAACCATGAAATGAAAGACGATAAGAAAGACAATTCTGGCTACAACAGTGGGGATGAGTACCAGAAGCCTAGCGAGCATTGGACCAACAATGACTGGGACGAAAAGGAGCGAATTTTCGAAAGAATTATTCGCAAGAAAGGCCTTATCATCAAGAAAATGCAGGAAGATGGTGCATGCTTGTTTAGAGCTGTCGGTAAGTTTTGTTTGTTTTAAAGTTTAATTAAGTTTAATTATTGTAAAATTTCAGCTGATCAAGTTTACGGTGACCAAGATATGCATGCTTCAGTGCGAAAACTTTGCATGGACTACATGGTATGCAAATGTTCAGTATATTTTTGCATTTAATCACCTGTGTATTTATTCCTTTAGGAAAAGAATTGTGACTATTTTTCTCAGTATGTGACGGAAAACTTTTCCAGCTACATACAACGAAAAAGGGACGACCGCATTCACGGAAATCACATTGAAATACAAGCTATGAGTGAAATTTTCAATCGTCCAATTGAAGTGTACCACTACACACTGGAGCCAATCAACACGTTTCAAGGTGTCAAAGCGAGTGACGAACCAATCCGTCTTTCATATCACCGCAACGTGCACTACAACTCAATTGTCGACCCGTACAAAGCCACCATCGGCGTGGGGCTTGGTCTTCCCTCGTTTAAACCTGGCCTAGCTGACAAGACATTGATGGAAAAGGCTATGCTCATTTCAGAGCAGCATGAGTTGGAGCAGGTAATTTTCTCGTTTGTGCTTTTTATAACCTGACTGAACGACCGTTTTTTTGCTTTAAGGCAATGCTAGAAGATAAAATTCGTGCCACTGATTGGGAAGCGACCAACGATGCAATCGAAGAGCAAATTGCACGAGAGTCTTACCTTGAATGGCTCCATGAGAGTGAACTGCGATCTCGTAAAAAGAAGCATACGACGAGCGCTACGTCAACCCAAACAAAGTTTATTGACGATGAAAACCCCCATATTCCGTCACCAAAGGGATACCATTCTCCTCGCTCAACAGTCAAAAGTCCATCGATAGATCGTGATATTCGAAGCCCAAAGAGAAACGAAGACCCGAGCAGCAAGTCAAACTGTTACAGTCGCAGTATAGAGAATGAAGCGACGGACTTTGTTCAAGTTGCCCCATACGCCCACACTCTAGGTAATATTGAGCGATCATAATTGTTGCGCATTTATATTACAGTGCTTTACCACCTATTCAGAGACTTGTCAGTATGAGGACGAAGAAGATGAAGACGACGATGATGTTTTGGCTAGAGTGCTTGCCCAATCTCAGGCAGAGTATCTGGATTCGCTGAAGAGTGCACATTCGGCTTCCAAGTCAACCACCGCTACGAATGACATGCCAGCAGAGACAGATACCACTTCGGGTGATTACATCTCTAACCAGCCCTCTACTTCCAATTATCGTTTATAAAGCCAAATGCACTTTTTAACTAATTTATGTGTACAAATGTCTTGCGATTGCGATATTTACTCCCGCCTAATTTTTCACACTTGTGAGAAAGCAAAGAGCTGTTTGACTAGTGATCTTTACAAACATCATTGTTAATATAGCCACATTGTAGATAATTACAATTGATATATATTATATTTTACTGTTATACATAGGCTTCCATTTTGCTATTTATTTGTTTCAAAAACTATGGCGACATTTTGCAATAAGATATATCTTCGTGTCTATCTAGCTTCACTTTTTTGAAGATTTTATGTTACACGTGCTTTCAATTTTATCACTTGCACCAAACGTGCAAAGTAAATGTACTCGGACCAGACCTAGGACATTTTGTTAAGTAGGTACTCAGTAATTTTTGTGCCAAATATTGGGTCCTAAGTTAGGGGCAAACTCAAGTTATAACAATTTTACAAAAATAAAATTCAATGCATTTTCCTATATACGGTTCATTTTTACAACGGTCTATGGGAAAATGCATTGAATTTTATTTTTGTAAAATTGTTATAACTTGAGTTTGCCCCTAACTTAGGACCCAATATTTGGCACAAAAATTACTGAGTACCTACTTAATAAAATGTACTAGGTCTGGTCCGAGTACATTTACTTTGCACGTTTGGTGCTGCATTATTTTCATTTAACATCACTCTAAATAAACTAAAGTAAAAGATGAGCAATATTTTGTGAGTAAGTTTAGTTACAAGAAGTGCACTGAAAAATCCAGTTCCAGTACTGTTTCAAAATTACTAATACGTCTTTTGCGAACAGTTAGTCAGCTCAGCGATTTTTTTCGCATGTGTTTTTTGGCACAATTTCAACAACAATCATTTGAGTGATTTGAAATAATGAAGAAACACCGAATCAATTTAGATTCGGATTTTAAGCCGAAAAAACAGTAAGTAAACTTGTTGCTAATCTTTACCGAATACATGCTTAACTAAATTTAATAAATATACAGATGCACAGAAGAGTCCAAGATCAGCGGCGGAGACGGGACTGCGTCTGCTGCAGCAGGCTCCAGCAAAACTGTGACCGGCTTGAATCCAAACACCGGACTAGCATACACCCAACACTACTATGAACTGTTTCGCAAGCGCATTCAACTGCCTGTATGGGAGTATCAAGACAAGTTTCTAACTCTTCTTGGACAGGAAAACATCATGGTTCTTGTTGGTGAAACTGGCAGTGGAAAGACTACTCAAATTCCACAATGGTGTGTAGACTACTGCAGAAAGAATAGCATCAAAATTGGAGTTGCTTGCACACAACCTCGTCGAGTGGCCGCCATGTCGGTTGCAACTCGCGTGGCCGAAGAGATGGACGTTGAACTAGGACAAGAAGTGGGCTACTCCATTCGATTTGAGGACTGCTGCAGCTCTCGCACCGTCCTGAAGTACTGCACCGACGGTATGCTCTTGCGTGAGGCCATGTCCGATCCACTGCTTGAGGCATACAGCATCATCATTCTCGACGAGGCTCACGAAAGAACTCTAAGCACTGATCTACTAATGGGCGTCCTCAAGCAGGTAGTTGCCAAGCGTAATGATTTGAAAATCATCGTCATGAGTGCTACACTTGATGCTGGAAAATTTCAAAACTACTTTGACAGCTGTCCTCTTTTAAGTGTTCCCGGTAGAACTCATCCAGTTGAAATTTTCTACACTCCTGAACCCGAACGGGACTACCTTGAAGCGGCTATTCGTACTGTCGTCCAGATTCACATGTGCGAGGACGAAGGGGATGTATTACTGTTTCTCACTGGTCAAGAAGTAAGTTATAAGTTCATCCATTGTGTGCTGTACTAATTAATGTTTTCACAGGAAATTGAAGAAGCATGCAAAAGAATCAAGAGAGAAGTCGATAGTCATGGCAATGATGTTGGAGAATTAAAGTGCATTCCACTCTACTCAACACTACCTCCAAACATGCAGCAGAAAATATTTGATCCTGCACCAGCTAGCAAGAATGGTTTGGTTGGAAGAAAGGTGGTCGTGTCAACTAACATTGCTGAAACATCCCTAACCATCGATGGCGTAGTCTATGTTATTGATCCCGGATTTTCAAAGCAAAAAGTTTACAATCCTCGTATTCGGGTAGAGTCGCTTTTGGTTTCTCCCATTTCACGGGCTTCTGCCCAACAGCGTGCCGGTCGTGCTGGTCGTACTAAACCAGGAAAGTGCTTCCGGCTCTACACAGAGAAGGCATTTAAAAATGACATGCAAGAGCAGACGTATCCAGAGATTCTTCGCTCAAACCTGGGCATGATTGTTTTGCAGTTGAAGAAACTTGGAATTCACGACCTTGTTCACTTTGACTTTATGGACCCTCCAGGTTTGTTTGAATCTGTTTAATGACTGATGTAGAAATTCTTTCAATTTTAAATTTTGTAGCACCTGAAACACTGATGCGAGCACTGGAATTACTCAACTACCTTGGTGCTTTAGATGACGAAGGCGAAATGACTGATACTGGCGCCATCATGGCCGAATTCCCACTTGATCCTCAACTAGCGAGAATGCTAATCTCTTCTTGTGATTACAATTGCTCTAATGAAATTCTGTCAATTGTTGCCATGCTTTCTGGTACGTTTTTTACACATCACATTTAATGTTATTTTTAATGACCATTATGGGTGTACAGTTCCGCAGTGTTTTGTCAGACCCAACGAGCAGAAAAAGGCCGCTGACGATGCAAAGCTTCGATTCGCCCACGTTGATGGGGACCACTTGACTCTGCTAAATGTTTATCACGCTTTTAAAGCAAGTAAGTTTACCTTTTATTTGTGTAGCTTTTTGATAGTAACTTTAATATTTGTCCCCAATCTTTCAGACAAAGATGATCCTTCCTGGTGCTATGACAACTTTATCAATTACCGTTCACTAAAAACGGCTGACAATGTTCGCCAGCAACTTTCTCGAATTATGGACCGGTTTAACTTGAAGCGAACTTCGACGGAATTTACCTCTAGAGATTATTACTTGAATATTCGCAAGGCACTTGTGTGTGGATATTTCATGCAGGTATGTTTTAAGCAGTGTTTTATGCCAATCGTTAGTGTTTTAAATAACGTTTTTTATCTCAATAGGTTGCCCACCTTGAGCGAAATGGCGTCTATTTGACAATCAAAGACAACCAAGTGGTTTACCTTCATCCATCTTCTGTTTTGGAACATAAACCTGAGTGGGCCTTGTACAATGAATTTGTGCTAACTACTAAAAACTATATCCGAACAGTGACTGAGATAAAGCCTGACTGGTAATTTTTTTTTATTTTCCGAGTTGACAACATTAATGAATATTCTGTTTACTGCTTTTAGGTTGTTACGTATCGCCCCTGCCTACTATAATTTGGAGTATTTCCCTCAGTGCGAGGCTAAGAGACAACTCGAGTTTTTATCCAGCCGAATTCAAGAAAGACAGAAGAAAATTTAAAGATACAAAAATTATTCAATTGGACCTTAATCAACTTAATCAACTAGGTTTTTTGGCTATTATTATTTTGCTTTTTCAATAAAACTGACAATTAGATAATAGCTGGTACAGAAACTAGGTACTTTTCCTGCATTACATTTCGGTGCATAATGACATATTAATTATTCTTAATTAAAGTGCCGTTTGTCGTCAGTCCAGCCACTCATGAGAATGGTGACAAGTGCACTGTCTAGTCCAAGTGGATCAATATCATTTTGACTAATTAATTTATTAATAATAATCATCATAATAAATACAGTTCATATATATTGCGCTAAGTTGATTGCATCAATAGCCATCGGTGACATTACAAATGTAGTTTAGACAATTGGTATTCCTTGATAATACAGATGATCGGTAGTTGCTGTCAGAGATGGTGCATGAGTTCACTGGGGATCTACTTTTGATGTGTAGCGGGCTATACAGATGAACGTTTAGTGGAGTTAACATGAGAGTGCTCTACTGGCCAGTTGATTCGTTGTCTACCACTACATGGGCACTACTGGTGGTGGACACTAGGCGGCAAGGCCGTCGCTGTCAGTTGGTCTTTGTGTGTGGGTGGATGTGTGTGGGTGTATGTGTGTTTGTGCAAACTAAAGCTGTGTGCAGTGTGGCTCAAGGTTGGGTGAAAAAACCAAATGTTGGCTTGAGGCATACGTGATGACTGATCACTGATGAGAGAAAAGAAGAGAGAGAGAGAGAAAGAGATAGATAGGTCCAAAGAGGAAACGGTATTTTCATATATATATAAGCAACTCTGTGTTAGTAAAATAAGGAAACATTTTGAAAGCAAGTTGAAGGTTGTAGTGGAAGACTTCAGTGGAAGAAGATTGTTCGGTTAAAAGTTTGGAAGACTTGATTGCGTTTTCTGTAAAGTCCATCGGCGAGACTTTACAGCTGTGATATGGAGAGAGTGTCTAGTGACCAGGTGATGGTCAGTCTTATTGGAACTACAGTTGGAAGACTTTGGAAGAGTTTGGAAGACATTTAGAGGCATCAAAGTTAGTGTGTGGTAGTTGATGGGGGCGCCCAGTGGGCTGAGCCAGTGCGCTCAGTGCGAGCAGAGTCACTGAGCAGAGTGGACCGTTGAGGCACGCTGTGGGCGCCAGTGAAGAGGTGGACCTCGCAGGGTGCGGACAGTACGGGCTTCAGCTAAGCAGTGTCCGCCCCTCCTCAGTCCTGGGAGATGTGTGTACTGAGGCGGCAAATGAAATGAAATGAAAGTGTGAGGGAGTGTTCGATGTGTGTGCTTGCAGTGACTGCAGTGCTGCAATGATGGCCATTGACATTTGGGCAAAGGATGATAACGGGTGAATAAATGCAATAATAAAGCAACAATAACTTATAAAAAATTTCCGAGATTTAACAAAAAAGCCCTATGAAAAAGAGAGAGATGAAAATTGGCTGAATGAATGGGGTAAACAATAACAAAATATCAGTTTATGATTTTACATGTCAGGGCGAATGTTTGCGTGGAAGGTGGCGCCCGACTCGCTCTACTGAACTCGACCGCCAACAGATTCACCCAACGGCCTAGAATGCGGCTGCTTATTCGAATCGTGGTCCTTCCTTTCGGCCGTCAAATCTCATTGTGTCGGTCCTGCGGAGAACAAGTCTAAGAGGTTTTTAACTGCTCTGAGAGACTATATTCCACTGGACCAGCGTAAAGGCATCCATTGTAGTGCAATCGGAAAGTGGGCCCAGTGGAACGGCGGTTTGAATGCGTCAGTTATCAGATATGAGTTAAGTTAATCGAGGTTAACGAAAAGGAACGGCAAAAAGATGCCTGGAAATGGAAGACTGGAGTTGCCAGGGCGAAGGGACTTGGGAAAAGGGTGTCGGAGAAGGGGATGAACAGAGAGTGAGAGAAAGAGAGAATGTGCAGAGTTTGATGATTCAGAAGCGTCGTTTGCTGAGCCTTGATGCGTCAGTGTTTACTCAATGATTGAGAACTTTGGTGTTTCTTCTTTTCAAAACTGGGTTCATTTCTGTTCGAAAAGCTGTTCAGTTGCAGTGAGGCTCGCAGCAATCGTTCGAGGCAGGATTGGCGGTGAAAAACTAGCCAATGAGGACTCTAAAAGAAACACGGCTATCTCTTTGAAGATTCTGGTGTCAAATTTTAGCACTATCGATGGCGGAAACGGTCTTTTCTAGATACGTGGTGCATGGCGGTAGATGGTATGAGCTTCAGTGAATCCTTATCTGAAGTGGGCTGATTCCTGAAGCCTAAACTTGAGTCACAGAGGTCGTCGCCATGTCTTTTAATGATCGTTGGCGAATCTCCTCTTCAATCTCTGGAATGTCCGGCCGGAACATGATTTTCATTCTCTGTAATTTAGCAAAAACAGCACAAAGCATTAAAAAGTTTTAAAAAGTGCCATTTCACATGACCATACTTCACTGAACGTGCCAGGTGTGACAAGGTACATGTAGATGGCATAAGCAGGAACGCAAATCATTGAAGATATGGCCAAGAACCAGCCGACACCTTCACCCCACCAGGGAAACACATAACCAACGTAGTCTATTGGCTTGTGCTGGTATAAGCTAAATAAGAATACAAACTGCAGATGGGACAATCATTAGTCACCGACAATATCAAGTTAAGCCTCAGTGTCAGACAGTTGGGGAAAAACTTACAAAGCACAGTGCCGGAGTAAAGATGAACCAGCACAGTTTCCACCAAATGCACAGTTCGTACTTCAGCATGGTGTTCATGTTAGTATAGTAGCGATTTACACCTGTACAAAAATGTGCAAGTAATCCAGTTATTAAAATGATTGTTCGTAAAGACCACATACCATAAGACCATGAGATGGCCACCACTTCAAAAAATATCAGGTAGAGCAAAGCAAAACCTGATGCCGCATAACTGTCAAATATTTGAAACCAGTACATTCCGCCCTAGAGCAAAGTCGACGGTTGAGAGCTCATTTGTTCATTTAAATTTCATTTGTAATTGAATACCTGCACCACGAAGAAGAATCCAATAAAGTAGGACAGCGTGCATATTCCCAGAATAAACAGCTCCTTGTAGGGTCTGAGAACACGTGGCCACTCATCGATGATTGCAGTGAAGAACCCTTCCATTGTGCAAAACTAAGTGATATGCAAATTAGTACTATATAGTAAAATAGCCAGACATTCATAGCTAGGCACTAACCTGACTATCCAAGCCTAGCATGATGATCATTAGGAAGAAGAGCATTGCCCAGAGTGGGGAGAAAGGCAACTTGAGAGTTGCGCTTGGATAAGCCAGAAATGCCAGTCCGGAGCCTAGAAAGGAACACAGAGTTTGCTAATTACAAATAAAATAATCTTTTTGTAAAAAGACTCACCAGAAACGGCCACATCTTCAATGGCTTTATTTTGCGCTTTCGCCATGAAGCCAACGATGCTGAAGACGACAAATCCAGCAAACATTGAAGTGCCGCTGTTGACGCACGAAATAATCAGCGCATCTCTGAGCAAACACAATATAACAAATAAAGACTGAATACAATCCATGAGCAGAGAAAACACATACCGGTGGACATTATTGTGAAAACGATTGTAACTGCCCAGTGCGATCCAGGCGCCAAGTCCAAGTCCGTAAGAGAAGAAAATCTGCGTGGCCGCATCCTTCCAGACCTAGATGAACGGATGGATGGATGGATGGATGAATGAGGAAAATGGAAAAAATGCATTCATAGTGCGCGCACAGTGCACACTGTCACTCATCGGCGCTTACCAGAGCGTCGTACAGTTTTGATGTGTTAGGGGTGATGTAGTACATTATGCCGTCCCAAGCACCATCCAGCGTAATGCCTCGAATTAGCAAGATGAACAAGCACACATAGGGAAAGATGGCGGTGAAGTAGACGATCTAGTGGTGGAAAGGACGATTAGTGCTGCCTCAGTGCTTACCACTTGGGAGAGGAATAGGGAGAAAGGGAGGAAGAGAGGGAAAGAGAGGGCAGACTAGGCTTGAAAGCCGCTCTGTGGCCAGCTCACCTTTCCAGTCCACTTGACGCCTTTGAAGATGGCAAAGTAGCACAGGATCCAGCTGATGAGGAGAGTTAAGGCAAGTGGCCAGCGAACCTCGCCAAAGTCGCTTATGTCAGATGTGATCTGCAGTACGTTGTTCCTGAAAGGAGGAGAGAGGAGGAGAGTAGCAATTAGAAGTTGGCAGTGGTCGTCAGTGGGCTGTCAAGTGCACGTACTCCCAGTACTCCTTCACCGGACTGGTGTACAGTGACGAGTTCACTTTGCAGGTGTGGTCATGCGATCCACGGTCAATGTAGCAGCGACGCTCCTCATCGGCCAGGTCGTACTCTGACCGGCAGCGACCAGTGTTCCACCAGTTGTTGCAGCCTCTCCAGGGCACATCAGCGGCAATTGAATTGTAAAAGTAGTACATCGCCCAAGCAAGCACTACGATGTAGTAAACGTTGAGCCAGAAGGCCATGACAGCGGCCGCATAACCGACACCTGCACCATCACAAATGGCCGAAAGTTTGCTAAAGTTAGTCGTCCGGTGACTCGGCGCTTCGCGTCGCTGCGCTGTTACCTTTGAAGACTGGGCAAATTCGCCACACGCCGAGCCCACCGATGCCTAAATACTGACCCAGCGATGCTTCCAAGAAGAACGCGGGTATGCCAGCGAGAATGAGGCAGAACAAGTACGGGACTAGGAAGGCGCCTGCAAGCAAAACAAATACCGTTAGGCGAATTAATTGCCCTTACCACTAACTGCGAGCTAACTACCGAACGGGCAACAAAAAAAGTCTCACAAACTGGTCTTCAATTTAGCTACATTTAATCCTCAGTATTAGAGCTAGCGCCACGGAACTTTAAAATGGCAGTTAATCTAGTGCACTAGACGTCAATCGAGTTTCCCTCAAACGCTCTCTTTGTTGTTTGCTTTCACTGATTAGATTCACTTGTGTTTGTTCATGTGCAATTTAAGCTTTTTATACAGAAAAGCAGCAAAGTGAGCCTATCTAAAAAATAAAGCAATTTTTTCTATATTTGAGAAAATATCAACAATGTTAAAACCAAGTCTATCACTACAGCCTAGCTGTGCTCAAATGCATTAGTTGAGATGTGCAAGCCTGTGTGTGTGTGTGTGATATCCGCCACAGATGGTAACATGTCACTGCTGCCACTGACGTTACACAGTGTGCCATTGACACTTGCTTCCCAGTGCTGATTTGATTAGCCTTGAATTTATTTATTGATTAATGAACGTTAATTTGAACAAAATTTGTAACTATGGCTTTTTTCTAGCATCATCAGCAGAAAAACCCAGCTGGTGCCAAGTAAAAGCTGAACAAACAAAGCGATAATACGTTGAACTAGTTTTGAAACAAAAACTTTTACAAACAAATGCACAGCTTTGTCCATTACAAAAATAGGTCACTCGTAATGAAAGCAAAATTAAATGAGTACACCTGGATTGAGCGCAGAAAATGAAAATCACTGCAGCAAAGCTACAAAGAAAAATGATTTTCGTTAGTCAGGCTGACAGTAGTACTGGAGGTGCACTAGAAGTCAGTGAAGTGCAGCTGTGCACCTGATGGCAAAAGAATGCAGAGGAATGCTGCATTCAGAAAGCAAACGCAGGCATTCGATCTCTCTAAAAAATTCAATCTTGCAGTCCAGCAAAAATGACTGCATCTGTCACAACTGCAAAATGAAGGAGAAAAAGTAATAAAACAGCTACATGATTAACAGTGCTCACCAATGATGATCCACTGACACAGTTGGCCAAGAATGGGCAAGTACAAAAGTGGTCACAGTTGTGGTCTGAGGTAATTCCAAGCATCTTTTGGATTTCCCAGCCACTTTTCCAAATCACATTCAGCTCTGAATATCAGTTTTGTCTATTAAAAATGTCTTGAAAAGATGAGGCATTTATGGTTAATTAATTGTCAACTTTGGTGTTTTGAGCATTGAACATCATTCTTTGTGAGAATGAGACTTACAGCCCAATAGTGCGCGCGTTGCCAATTGCGGCGGAAAGTGATTCAGTTGGCGGTCTATTAAGTGAATTAAGTGCAACAACTTGTGGTCTAACGATTTCCTTTCCATTCATTGCTCACTCTAACCACTCAACGCTTTGACGTTGGCATTCGCTCAACTGGACGATTTTCAAAACTGCCGCGGTCGCCGCACACAAAAATGAGGCTTTTTCGATTGCGGCTTATTTTTTTCGCTTTTTTAAAACTGTTCAACTTTAAATTTGACTCGGCAGTTGTTGAAAGTCACATGCGGCAAAGTGCAGTACACNTGCTTTGACGTTGGCATTCGCTCAACTGGACGATTTTCAAAGCTGCCGCGGTCGCCGCACACAAAAATGAGGCTTTTTTGATTGCGGCTTATTTTTTCACTTTTTTAAAACTGTTCAACTTTAAATTTGACTCGGCAGTTGTTGAAAGTCACATGCGGCAAAGTGCAGTACACGCACATTTGCTGCTCATTCAACTGTTACGAAGTGATAAGAAACGTTTAAGAGATATAAAGCAATTGGGAGGCCAATTGGTTAGTAGCAGCGGTAACGCTGCTGATGCTACTGCTGATGCTAACTTTCACTGACAAAGCAATGGCAAAGAATGTAACGGTGCCAATCATGTAGCTTTTTCAGTTTGTTTAGTTTTTCAAATTAATTCACATTCTAAAGTTACTGCTCTCGGAATTCGCCATTCTTATAATGCTGAAAGTGTTTTGAAAAGAAAGAATGAAGGCACCTGAAAAGTGAGTTGAGACTCAAGTTGAAGTGAATAGACACTTGATGTTCACACAAATATGCACTGGTTAAAGCAAATGTCCGGTTATTGAGAGAGAAGCAAGTAAGGGTACTTGTTCTGAATTGTTCCAACTTGAGCAGTGGTGACATTGAAAAGGGAGCACAACTTGAAGTGCATCGATTATGCAAACTTTGTGCCACTTGCAAATATAGTCATTTTTGCGGTTCACTTTTCACTATGAAGGCTATGAAAGCATGCGCAGAACTGATTCGGTTTTAAAGTGTGTCCATTAACTGACCAGTTGTGTAGCATGCAGTAGTCTATTAGGTGCAAAAACAACACACTACAAGCAAGGAGCATTTGCATATCATCAAAATGCTGAAAAGTTAGGCTTCACAAGTAAAGCAGGCAGTGCGTGCTGCCACTTACCTCCTCCGTTTTTGTAGCATAAATAGGGAAATCGCCACACATTGCCCAATCCAATAGCGTAGCCAATGCAGGACATGATAAAGTCCAACTTGCCGGTCCATTGCCCACGATCGGGCAAATTATCATTCGTTAACTTCACTTCCGTCGGTACACCGGAGGCGCCTGTGGGTCTGCTGTTGTTGGCCTGATGGCCCCCTGCGCCGTCGAAACTGTTCATCTCGACCTTGTTGCCAGCCATTTCTTGTAAATTGATGTCTGCCGCCTAGGCGAAAGACATTACCGTTAGTTTCGATTGCCACTCTGATCACTCTGATGATTGTGGCCTAGAACTACACCCTGACTGTGGTCTACTTTTCAGCAGTACATGGCCTTCTGATTGAATTCTCGGAGATGCCCTAGTCATTTGATCATTTGCATCGTCGAGAATGTGTAATGTAAAATGCAAATGCATGACAATGCGCCAGAAAAATGATGTTCTGAGCCAGCGAAGCAGAGTACCGACACGCAGGGATTAGGAGAGGCAGGCTGAAGAAAAAGAAGAAAGCTCACCACAGCAGCAGTGAGACTTGTTTGAATAATTGAGTGCACAAATTTGCCGCCGTTTTGCTAATCGCAGGGTGATCTCCGTCTGCTTATGTCGCTGCAGAGCACTTTGGGTATTATCTCACTGGCCAGGTCATATATCACCGCTATATATATTATGGTCTAATTACTAGGCAATGAAACATTTAAATAATATTTGGTTACAACGTGCCGCCTGTCAGCGGGTGAGTGTTGGAATAAAGTATAAGGCATTCTCAAAGGCAATAAAACAGACGACTGACTTACTGCTTACGGAGCAAGTGAGCAATATTGATGTGCGATATTTCCGTGTAATATAATATGCTAATCGAGGTGACCTTTAATTGTCGGTGCCGTCGTTGTTGTCGTCGTCGTCGTCGTCGTGGCGGTGGATACTTTCTCTTGCCGGCGCACAATTCTCTGTTCCCTTCTTACTTGCTTGTTTCGAATTTCAAAGCACATTTATCATCTAGCATAGGCAAACAGTGTCCGGAGGACGTCGCGTCGTGTGGCCTGAGCACTTTGACGGTTGTTTACACTGAAGATGCTGCCGATGTTTTTCCACACTCTCGGTGTTCACTCCAAAACAGCTCACCGCTGATGTTTGGTGCTCCACCAGTCGGTACTCGGCTGATGTTGATTAGTTTTTCTCTGTTTACTGATATGCGCTGATATGTTTGATGGCTTGTAGAAAAATAAAATTGATAAAACAGATTACAGAAAAAGAAAGAGAGAACGAGAAAAAAAGGGAAAGTGAAGGTGACTGAATTGATGAGAAAGATTGGTGAGGAGGGGATCACAATGCAAAAGAAGCGACCGATGAAGTTGGCCCGAATGATCGAGCGGAAGACTGCTGGTAATGGGAAATGATGGGGAGGGGTGGTGGTGGTGGTGAGGGTGGGAGTGACGCGCCGAGTATCCGAGTTTCAGCGAGTCACCGCGTTAGTGAGGCACGGAGAGCACATCGTGGCTGACATGGTGGGCGCGAGGCGATCGTAGCACACCACTGTAAGCAGCAGCACCAGTGAGCACCAGGGAACAGCAAATGATGCTGATGCTGGTCAGCTATGTTGAACGGATGTTGAGCGCTGACTGATGCTCTGTCGCGCGCGGCTGTGGTGCACTGCACTGCACTGGCCCTTCACTGCTTCGCCTACTGCTTCTCTCCAATGCCGTCTGCTGTATTTTTACACAATGACTGTGACCAGAAGGAAGAAGAAGAAGAAGATGATGATGATGAAGGCAGCAGTGAAATATGCAGTGCAAACGACAAACGAGCCAGGCAGCATCTATTGATGCTATTGGTGCTAGGCGGCTGGACGGCCATCGTGTTTGACTTGGCTCTAAAGTCAGCGGCTCACTCAGCATTAGCCGCACACTTGCCCACTGCCTGCCTGCTTTTCCTGCTTTCCTGCTTTCCTGCCTTTCTGTCTTCCTGCCTTCCTTTCTCTCTCACCCTCTTCTTCCCTTTCTTTTCCCTTCCTTTGCTTGCCTTTTACCGCCGAGAAGAACCTTTGATGCCCGACTCGGCGTTGGCAAAGTAGATGCTAGAGAGAAAATGTGTTCGGATGTGGCCAGACTGTGTTCCTGAAGCCTTCCTTTCTTTTCCCGTGCCATATATGAAAGCGGTGTTTTCTGTGCCAGTCGTATAGCATATAGCAGCAAGGATGAAGGTCGCCCGGCCGTGATTTGAGGCCTCTTTCTCTCACTCTCTCTAACTCAACCACTTTCTTTGCCAACGGCAAGGATCGCATTCGTTGCATCCGTGTTTCCTCGGACGGCGCATAGCCGCTGACTTGGCTAGGCCAGAATGCTTTGCCGCAAAGTGCGACCACACTACCACCACCACCACCACCACCACGACTATCAACATTAGGAAAAGCAGTAGGAGGCATGTAGTGTTCGATTTAAAAGCAATTTAAACGTCACTTTGCTGGGTCTGATCTGCAATTGCTGCCTACAGGGCTTGTGAGAAAGAAGAGCACACTGAGAAGAAAGTCATAAAAGAGAAAGAGAAAGAGAGGAAGAGAGAGGCTTGTTGGGAAAGAAAGGACAGCAAGCCTTTGAACATGATGATGCCGGGCCGGTCGAGTGATCGCATTCCGCACCGTTCTCCGCTACCCGATTCTGGCCTTTGCCTGATAGTGCACCCAAATTGAATAATAGTGTCAGGCTATATAGGCAATCACCCTCGTTCTCTCGCTCTTTCGTTCTCTCAACCCGACCCAGTGGCAAATTACAAATTGAATTAAATCGAGCCTACGTGTGGCCAGGAGACAATTGTCGGCGAGGCAGACAGCTTCAAGATAAGTGCTAATTGACACCAAACACCAACAGCAGAACACTGGCCGGACAATTGACTGCTCGCACTCGTTGGCGCACTCACAGCACCGCCAGCACTCCTCTACCCAGCTGCTGGAGCATTGAAGACAAGCGGAAAGCAGTTCACTCTTTCACTCGCCATCAATCGGTGGCAAGTCAAATTGCCAATTAGATGTGCCCTAATTTTTGTTTGCTCTTGTAAGACAATTTGCCACAATATATTACAAGTGCCGATCAGGGTACAAGGAGGGGGAGGTCAGAGACAGTGTTCTTCTCCGTAGACAGAAGGGAATAATTAATGTCAATAAGGAGTGACCCAGTTCTGATCCCTTACACTGCTGCCGCACGACACTACACACATTTTTTTGTGGCAGCCGATAATGTGCATACCGTACACGTCTATATGCTTCTGTGGGCGCAATTAGCAGACTCACATGCCATTGTTCGATGGCAGGCTTACCTGTCCGTTGCTGCCAAAGCATGCCCAGAACTAACGTGCCATTGTCCACAAATCGATGCCTACTGTTTCACTGGGACGGATTGTCTGTGCAAGCTGTGCGACCCAATTCACCACAGTCGGTGCAGTCGTGCTCACAGACACTTTTGTTGGGCATTTTCGTACATTTTTTTCAAAAATATTCTCTAGAAATGTCTTCAGAAAGCTCCGCCTCTGAACAGTTTCGCAGAAATGTCCTTTTGCAGAAACGGCACTTGTTTTGAAACTGACAGCCACAATTTGTTGTCTACAAATCAGTCGTCTGCTCTCATTTAAATGAGCCGAAGAGAATGACTATAGTGATTTTAAATCTTTTATACACGCAAGACAGCCTAAAGATTATCAGCAAAATATGATTTTTTAAAATATTTTAATTGAGTCAAGATGATTTGTTTGGATAAAGCTTGATGTCACTCTCTGGAGCAATTTCTACTGACATCTTTCAACAAAATCACTAAAAATGTCTTCTTTTGATTATTTAAAGTACATCGTGCATCCAGAGGGATTGCGAAAGTTGCAAAGTTTTGATTTCGTGATCCCTTCGGCAATCCTTCTGTTGACATTTTACTTTTCAACATTTGGCCTTCTCTTCACCTTACTCTTTCTCTTTGTCATCTTGCCTGTCATTTTTGCCATTTTGCAAGCTCGCATCTACTGTGGCAACAAGATCAACTCAAGTTTTTATATTTCCTGGACCGTTTCGTCCTTGTTGATTTTGTTGTAAGTTGTTTAGGTGCGTTTTTATGATTGTTACTGAACTATTTTTTTCAACAGATATGTTTTTGAATTCGTAGTGGTGTCATTTTTAGAGATCACGATCAAAGAGAACTATCTGGAGTTGACCTTTGTTTCAATAAGTGTGGGTATTGTGTGTTTTCTCCGATATAAAAACAAATGTGATTTAAACATTGACGACAAACCCAACCGCCTTCTTTACTACAACCAATGGATTGGCACCAATGTTCACCTGGAGCACGCCAAGCTCTACTTATTAAGTCTAGTCATGATAAACTGCGCATTGATTTTCGGATCGTACCTCAGCGTCACTACCATTTGTCACACTTTCCAATTCGGTGTGGTTCTGGTTCCCGACGACTGTTCAGAAATTTATTTCGATGCAAAGTGAGAGCCTTTATTTTTGTAAATATATTTATTTTCACTGACTTGTACCTTTTTCCCCTACAGCTTGTCGATAAGCTTCGTCTCAGCTCTCTATGCAGGAATGCTTGCCTGTGTTATTTTATACTCCAGTCTCAAATTGCTTTATACCCTTACAAAGAGAGCGCATTTTTACAATCTTGTCTCGTCAACTTGAAAACATTATTTGATGTAACATATTTACAGCTATGTAATAAAATGGTTTTTTATTCATTGTTGTGCCTCGGTGTCCCAGGCAACGAGGCACTGCGATTCAGACGAAATTTTAATCAACATTTTAAAGGCAAGACAAAGAAGAGAGGCAACCGTTTCTTCCCAGACAAAAGCTTCATGTGTCGTGTTGTTTGCGTATTCCTTAGTCCGGAACTTGAAGTGATCGATGACAATGGCAGCAACGGCGGCGGCAGTGGCGGTAGAAAGTTCCAATGAGGTTTCCATACCAATTGACTGCATTTTTTGCATAAACACCCCAGTCCATTCAGGGCAGAAAGTTGTACAATTGCCCAGATAATTGATAAGCAGTTGAGTTGGGATGATTGCAGAGTGCTACAGAGGTGGTTACCGAGCTGAGAATGTGAATGAAGTGCAAAGGAGAGAGCGAAAGAAAGAGATTCACTTTAAATGTGCGCTCAAGCAAATCGATTAATCAATTAATCAATATTTGCTCATGAAGCGCACTTTCCATGTGCCGAGTCATGCACTTTATTCGCTGTATATTCATGTTTGTTTTAGACTAGCGTGTGTGAGTGTATGTAACCTCTCACTTTTAGAGAGAAAAACATTTAGAGCAATTGTGAGAACTCGGCCAAGATCAGGACACAGGAAAGAAAGAGAGCCTGCTGTGTGAATCAATCAGTTTGCTGTCAGCGGTTGTTGTTTGTCGAGCAACAATGATCAAATCGAATAATCTCAGTCTGGACGTTCAAAGTCATCTTCCCCCTATCTCTCCGCCATGTCGAAGTCCACTAGAGGGCAAACTTCCCTCAGCAAAGTGAGCTCTTAAACCTGATTTTGTTTGCTTTAAAATCATCCTACATTTAAGGTACACAAAACTGTCGGAAATACTTCGCAAGACTACAAATAGCCAACTTCAGTGTTCTATGTTTTGCGGGTAAGTGGACTGCTTGTTAGAAATGTCAATTAATTTTTGTGCAAAAATCAGAGGCAAAAACTGTAAATTTGAAAAACAATCAAACTGGTCAAATGAAGAAAAAGCTATACCGGGCTTATACTCGCACTGGTAATTATTATTTCATAACCCAATGTTAAAACTAACTTATCATTTAGGGTAACCGAGGACATACTCGCCATGGCAAGGCCAAACAATGACATTATCAAAGAGTACAATTTGATACAGATATTTAAAGAGTAGTTTTTTGTGAGTAGACAACTTTTATCAGAACTAAATAATTTTTGTTTTCAGTAAAAACATCAAGACAATTATAAACCTACAAGAGCCCGGAGAACATAGCAGTTGCGGACCACCATTAGATTCAAGTTTTAAATTTTCATATTCGCCCAAACTTTTTATGGATAATCAAAGTATTCCGTGAACCAATCTTTTTTCACATCAAAATAATTTTTTTATTTTTAGTATTTTTCAACAACTTTCCGTGGAAGGTAATTTGAGTTAATAGAATTTATCTATTGTACAAGTATTGTGGAAACTAAATGCACAAATTTCGCTTAAATCCATAACCATTTACCCAATGTTGATAGGATTATTCTGGTGTTAGCCCTGCTGTCCTTTTAGACATTGTTAAGGTAATTTTTTTTGCTTTGTGAAATTATGTTTTGACAATTACTTTATAGGTTGTAACCTTTGCAGTTACACAGGGAAATGTAAGGAACAAAAATGCTTTTAAAAAGGATCCATAATGTCAATTTAATCTTTTAGATTGCAATTCATTGCCACGCCGGTCTTGGTAGAACTGGAGTGCTCATTGCGGGCTACTTGATTTTTACCTACAGGTAGGCTGGTTGTGACTTGTGACTGCTCTCTTTGACACATTCTTCCCTTCAGGTGTGATGCACCTAGCGCTATTGCCTTTGTTCGACTGAGAAGGTAAGCAGATTCGGTTAAAATGACATTTTATATGACTTGCCTTCACTGCAGACCAAACTCTATTCAATCTCGAGGCCAAATTCTGTCTCTCTTCAAGTTTGCCAACTACATTTCACCATGTTTCATTGTGTACAAATCAGTGTAAGAGTTAAACATTCTGTTGTCTTTGTTATGTAAAAATGTGCAAATTAATTAACGCAATGATTGATAGTTCTTCCAAACAAATTTCCGTCACTTTGACAGATTTTCTTCAGAGACAACGCGTTCTGCTGCACGGTTTTGAGCTGCGATGCCTTCGATACATTCCCAAGGTTAGCAGCACTTATTTTCTGATCATATTCTACAACTAGCACATCTAAATTTTAGATAGTTTTCATTATTTGCGAAAAACTCATAAAAATTGCTGGAAAGGCGAGCATTTTAAAGATACGAGAATGCGACCATGAAGACGATCTCAATGAGTACAACTTTACTCGGCACTACCTCAGCAGTAGAAAGTGTAAAGATGTTCAGTCAAAAGCTCACTCGGAAGAAAGTGATTCGGAAAGTGAAGGCGATGAAGATTCAAAAGATGACGAACATGACTCGATGGAAACGTTCGACCCCGACTACAATCTACAGTATAAAATAGACAACTTTGAAGTGGACACGGAAAAGGAAAATGAAGAAGAAAAGAAACTAATCGATTTGCTAGATGAACCGAATGGTGTAAAAGAAATGGATTTCCTCAAACCAGAAACTTTAGCCAGGCACCGACCTAGCTTTCAGGTACTACAACAGTCACTTCTGGATAATATTGAGTGCACGGCGCCACCCGAGGTGATCATCACCGTACTGACTTGTGAGCCAAAAACGGACAATGATTTCAGCCAAACGATATACAACTACCAGGTAAATTAGAGAAATCCCAATTGAGCATTTAAAAAATCCACTCATTCCACAGAAAGCAATCAACAACACACCCAACGGGTGGGAGAAGCTTTGCGAGGAAAGAGACCTGGAGACTCTTGTCACACTGCTTTGGACTTGGTTTGAAAACTTGGACGTAAGTTTCAGTAATTGGACCCGACTTCCGACTGCTGCTAAACTTTTTTGTTCGTTTTTTCAGAGTCCTATCCTTAACACTGAAACACTTGGCCTAATTGCTGAAACTAAAGAAGATTTTGAGAAGTGCTTCTTTAGCATGAACATGGTGAGCTGGTGAGACTTGATGTTGACGGCGATTGACGACCATTTCCATGTCGTACACTAGGAAACGAGGTTCACTTTGGAGTACCTTGTTCGTTTTGTCATGAGACTCTGCGAGGACCGAGAGGAGGGTAAGCGGCGAGTGGTGGCTCGACTGGTCGCTGCACTCACCATCAAACGCGTTCAAATGGACGGAGGGGAGAGCATTCCCAGACAGGTGAGCCCCGTACTAAGGTGGACGTTGTCCTTGCTACTACTCACACACCTTTTCCACTACTGCAGAAGCAAACCTGGTTGGCGCTCTCCAGTCGCAGCAGAGAGGCAGTGTTCAACTTGATCCATTCTCTCATGCAACTCATTGAAAGTAATACTCCACCGTTGTAAATCCACAACGACAACTTGTGTAACAGATTAGCTTTTATGTAGTTGGTATCATTAGCATACTAGAGAATATGTAAAATGAATATTGTAATGAGATAGAGTAAATGACAAAACATATCTACATAACAAACACTTTCTCCACTTCCTTGAAATCATACTGGTTGCCAGTTCGGGGACAAATCACTTTGTTGCCATTTTCCAAAGACATCTTCTTCAGTGCCTTTTCACCGTAGACGTATCCATTGGGAAGCATCAACGGCTGATTATGTTCATTCATAGCATCGCCGGAAATGTAGCAGACCAATCGGCTTTGGGAGCAGTGAGCGCAAGGAAGAGTAGCCGCAAGTTTGTTCAGCAGCTCGGAGCAAACTGGACATTCGTTATTTCGAGCAGTAGCATCTTTGCGGTAGCATTGAGGTGTTTTAAGGGAAGAGAGACCAGCTTGCAGAGTGATGGAAAATATGGAAGCATTGGTCAGCTGGTAGAGCCTAAAGTTTTCGGCTCTGAACTGCTCCACGAGTCGTTGCCATCGCTTCGCATCAAAGAGAATTCTGTATCGTTCCACCTTTGTGTCTGGAGTGCAGGCCAACAAGCCCATCACTTTCTCAAGCTCCGTTTGTGCAGGAGTGCCGACAATTTCTTCAAAAGTACTGAAATATTTTTGAGCGTACTTAACTGCTTCCATTCGTTGGTCAGCTCGAACCAGTTCAATAAACTCTTGCTGACGCAGGCTAAACTCCAAGGTTGATTTGACTTTGCGCAATTTGGATCGATTATCATGGCACCAGGTCAGGCATCGAGATGTTTCGTGATTGGCAAGTGAATCTTCAATATCGCGGCAAACGAGAAAAATGTCTATATTTGTTAGAGGCTCAATTTTGGAGCATTTGGCCAGATGGATTGCAGTATCGTAGAAGCCTGATCGCAGACAGTGGTCGACAATCATTCGATCCATTCGCTGACGCTTCCAGGTGGCTAGCCAAGGGTCAGTAGGCTCATGAACTGAAGGTGGCTCAGGAGTCACCTTGCTGCAGTATTCCTTCAGATGCTCCAGCCGCCTCTTGCACACATTTACAGCGTCAATCTCTTCGGAAATGCATTCAAATGATTTGCGTTTTAGGACATTCAGCCGGCCAACTACACCAATGAGCAGCTCGTTGATTTTTCCTACAGTAACTGGCTCATTTTGAGATGACTCTTCCGAGGGCTTGGTGTTGACAGCCTTTTCCAGTTCGTTTATTGAACTCTGAACGTGAGATCCTTCTCGGTCAATGTTCTTTTGGGCAATACGAAACTTTTTGTTTAGAAGTTCGTAGGGAACTTTAAGCGTCTGGTGCTCTAGAGCACGAATATCAGAAATACTGCTCATTGTGTTGCGTGAGTGTGATAGAAGTCTGGAGGTGCCGTTCGCCAGGAGACTTTCACTTTGCAGTATGCTTGATACGGAAATTCCGCTAATGAGATTTGAAACAGCGGCCACTAGCGAGTTGGAGAGCTCTCGCGAGTTATCATTCAAAGAATTGGATAGACGGAGAATTTCGAGAGCATTCAGGTTTCCACTTGCCATAACTTTAGGGTAGAGAAGAGAAAAGTGGGAGCAGATGGAAGGGAACTCTTAAAGGGCCTTGTGGTGGGCCATTTAAGGTGAGAAGAAGAGTGAGGCAGCTGAGGGTCAAGTACCAGCGGTATATTGGTCCAGAAGGGCGAGTCAGAGGAAGGGAGCGATTTGGAAATGAGACGCAACTGCGTTTCATGGGCACTGCTGCTGCGGAACAATGTCTGCCGTCTGCTCACAAAAAAATAAACACGCCAAGTGGAGTGAGTGCAATTCAGCGCCCCTAGCGGCCTACGGCGCTTATCATAGAAACAAGCGATTTACGCGAAAAATAACTCCTTCCAGTGTAGTGCACCTAGAAACTTGATCTTGCTTTTGAAATGTACCTGAAAGGCTCTTTGTCAATCATATGGAAACGTTTTGAGCAATATGATTTGTCAACTTGTTTTATCAAAATTTTAAGTTCAACTGCCTGAGCATGACAACTTCTTTTGCTTATAAAAAGCAATATTTGTTAAAAGTACTTTTGTACAACTATTAGGCAACTTTTCAGTTACATTTTAAACAAAGATTAGATTTTTAATCACATTATCATGGAAAGATTTATTCTTTTTTTGATGCACAGAAAACGTTATGAGGAANTTCTTTTGCTTATAAAAAGCAATATTTGTTAAAAGTACTTTTGTACAATTGTTAGGCAACTTTTCAGTTACATTTTAAACAAAGATTAGATTTTTAATCACATTATCATGGAAAGATTTATTCTTTTTTTGATGCACAGAAAACGTTATGAGGAAATAGGGGTCGCCAAAAATGACACCACCTAGTGGATACCCAGGATAATTGCAAAGTTTTTAAAAGGACAATTTAAACATTTTATTTGTTAATAAGTGAATCAAATAAGCTTGCACCACCCGGCAAATCTAGTTGAGAAACTCTTCAAGTTCACTCTTNGACACCACCTAGTGGATACCCAGGATAATTGCAAAGTTTTTAAAAGGACAATTTAAACATTTTATTTGTTAATAAGTGAATCAAATAAGCTTGCACCACCCGGCAAATCTAGTTGAGAAACTCTTCAAGTTCACTCTTGGAGAGTTGCTTGGAAGACTGAGAAGACTGATGGTTTGTCGAAACGTTGTTTGCAAACGAACTGATGCTTGGAGCACCAACTGTGCTCTTCATTGCATTTAAACTCTGCCCAGTGATTCGGCTTTGACCTGAGTTCAGAATTACCAACGAGTCGAGTGAAGACATGTTGGGTTTGCTGTTGCTACTGATGCTATTGTTAGTCAATTGAGTACTTCCTTGATGACTGATTGGTTGGGTGTTAAAGTTGGCAAAACCAGTACTGCTGATGTTGCTGGTAAATCCACTTGAACTTGAACTTTTAGGTAGCATATTTAAATTTGCACTGATCAGAGTACTTGTTAAATCTTTAGCTTGATTACTAGAGTTTTTGTTGGACAATGAAGAATTCGTTTGTGGAATTAGAGGCTGTTCACTATTCAGCCTTTGCTGTTGTTCTTTTTGAAAAGCAAGTCGCTCTTTGTCACCAAGAGACAGGACTCCAGAAGCTGAACCATTCGACAAGTTTTGTGGTGGCAAAGCAGCACTGACAGAATTAAAGTTGAACGGATCAAAGTTGGCACCAGAAGTGGCTGGTTTGTTACTTTCGCTACTTGTAAAGAAGGAATCATGTTGAACTTTTATGGAATCCAGCTGTTGAAGCTTAGTTTGATGATCCTCTTCCACTTTGCTCAGCATTTCCCTTATCAGCATCATAACAGTGTTGAACTGTGTCAAAAAAAGAAACTGTAATTAAGATTTGTATAAACTTGGTACAAACATACTTGTTGAAGGTTGAGTCCATTCTCGATAGACATTGGAACTAGAAAAGGAATAACTTTAGTCGCCAAAATTTCTTTTGTCATTCCTAATTTGCTGCTGTTTAAAACGAGCTTGAAAATTCCTGAAAAAAAGTTTAAATCAATGAGATAAAACAAACATTTACATTGTAAAATGGCACATACCAACAGAGGCCATTATGACGGCAGGTTCTCTTGAAGGCATTTGCATGACTAGTGTTAGAACTTCATCAAGAACCAGCCACTTATCGAGGTGTTCAAGAATTTTACCCAGACAAACTAGGCAGTTGACTCGCACAGAGAGTAATTTGGTGTTAAGTGCCAGCTTTTTTATACGTGGCAAAAGTGAATTTTTTGTTCCAGAGTAATCAATTAAATGAATAACGGTGGGCACGACGCTCAAGCACAGCTCCTGAATCTGATAGGCGTCAGACTCAAGAAAGCGATATAAAAGAGGAATGATATGTTCACGAAGAGACTCTGGTTTAGTATTAAACTTTTTAACCAAAAACTCCATGTTCTGCAGCAAGTATATGCCAATTTGAATGGGCTCTTTGTACTTAAACACTGGAACGAGATGGGGAACAATCCAAGTGTGAAACTCTTCATCTGTTGTATCTTTTGCAATTTGAAGCACATTGGGAAGCACAAAAGGAACCATCTCGGGATTGACAAACTCTTTCGCCAGGCCAGACATGATGCCACGTAGTCGGACTCGTTTTGGAAATTTATCCAGGAGATCGGGAAAACTCTTGTAGAACTGCGCCTTTTGTGCATTGTCCCACTGGAAAAGCGAATCAAAGTATTGCAACGCCCGGACCAACACATCTTGGAATATTTGAAGCTTTGATATCTGTTGAGCATCAGGTCGAAGTGTAGTGTCAATGCTGCACAACAACTTAATGTGCTTTCGCGACTCTTCAGGAATGGAACTCCAGCAGTTGTTGGATGATAATTTCCCCTCAAGTTCGGCGGCAAACTTAGAAGGGTTGTACTGGTGAGAGGAAGTAAATGTACAGGGCGCTGATCCCTGATTGTATAGAGTCAGTGTGAGAATTCCCAAGGAAAAGATGTCCGAACTTGCATCCACTAGCGAGTTGTCACGTAAATTCTCCAGCGCCACATAGGAAAAGTTGGGCTGAGCATCTAATGACGTGTCTGGAAGTACCTTTAGCGCCGGATACTTGTACGGTTGCTCATTCGGCGTGGTGGTTGTTACGCTAAAATCAAAGCCCGATATTTTCCACAAGCCATTTCGATTTATGATAATATTTTCCGGTGAAATGTTTCGATGCAGTATTTTGGCGTCCTTGTGTAAAAACACCAGACCTTCTGCAATGGAGAAAAGGCCGTATTTGATTTCGACATCGTAAAATGAACGTTCTTGAGAGTCTTTCGAGTCGTCTGTATCGAGGTTCTTATTGGCGTCAAAGAGGTTGCTCAAACTGCCCACAACCGGCTCAGTGGCGAATGCAATCAAGTCGCGGCTCTCTTCCAAATTGTGCTGTACTGTGAGCATCGACGGGTGTCTCAAGCGAGTCAACTGGGCAACACCTCTGCGAATGGCCTCCAACAGCACTTCTTTGTCTTTCTTTGACAGCTTCTCCAAGGCCTTTTTCTCCAGAATAAAGAGTGCTGCATCCTCCTGAGTGCTCTTCTTGACGGCTTCGTATATTTTAAAAACAAGTCCAGGCCCAGCAGAGCCGACTTGGCGAATCAGTTCATATTGTCGGGTCAGTGGGTTGCCGGGAAGAGCGGTGGAGACGTTACTGGTCACTTGGTACACGGTCGCGGACACGGTGTCCCTTAACCGGTTTAATACTGATTCCATGTTCATTTTGACGGTGTTCGGTGAGTGGGACTAGTTGCGTAAGGGAGCATCTAACAACGAGAATCTCTACGAGCAATCAAAACAGGTGGAGTAGAGGCGAGTCGAGTCTGTTTACTTGCAGCAGTGCAATCGCTGCAGTGTAGATGGCATCCGTTTGATGCCCAAAAGAGGTGGACGCTTAAGTAGTCTCTCCAGAGCACAAGCAATAGTATTCAAGCAGAGTGGCGCAGCGGAAGCGTGCTGGGCCCATAACCCAGAGGTCGGTGGATCGAAACCACTCTCTGCTACTTTTTTTCATCTAAAATGTATTATCGCCAACTAGCACATTCCATGTTTATTATAAATGTGTATAGAAATTGACAAACTTAACAGGAGTTAGGGTTTTGTTTAATTTCAGTAAAGGGCTTAAGCGAGGAAAACTCCCAAAAACAATTGTCACAGGGAAACTTGAAAGCTAGGAACAGTGAAAATTGCTTGCAACGTTGCAAAAGTCAGAATAGGGGAAGGGCACGTAGGAAAACACAAAGTTGAGAACGGCAGGTGAGAAAAAGGGTGCGCTGAAGGGGTTCTTGTAAGGCAGATAGTGGTGAATTAAGAAAATAAAATGCTTCAAATACAAAAAAACTTGTGGTACGACTTTCCATTGCTGAGCAGTTTGCAGCGCTTTCAAGTGCCAGTAGACCAGCTGCCGGCGACAGTATCCATTCAAACATTGGCTGGATCGGGTGATCAAAGAGAGCAGATCACTGAGCCAATGTTTACCAGTTTCTGGTGGAGTTAGACTAGAGCACAACAGACGAGTTGACCGAGGTCTCGTTTTCTCTTAGCCTTTCTTGAAGTCACCACCGAGGTGGTTGTTGTTGGCAGTGTCGAGGTACGCTGCTGCTGAGCTGGCATTCATGGGTGCTGCCCAGTTGGAGTTGAGGTTGTAGGACGAGGGAGAGACCAGGTACGCCTGAGTGGTCCCTGCCTCACTGCCACCTGCAAATGCGTGCTGCTGTTGAGCGTTGTTCATGTAGTGTGCGTCCATTGGATCGATGGAAGGCCCGTAGGAGTTGAAGTTGCCACTGTTGAAGGACATGTAGTTGTGAAAGCTGGGCGTCGGGTCGAAGGTGGAGGACATGGAGGGACTGGAGTAGAGGGGCATCGCCATGCCGCTCAGGTCCTTATCCTGAATGCCTCCGTCCAGCATCTGATTGTGAATGATCGGTCCAATGCCCGTCGACTGAGAGGGCTTCAGTGGTGGGTGAGCCGCCAGCCAGTAGCTTTCTAAAAAGTCAGCCAAGTGTTCGCAGGCATCCTCCAGGTGGTTTTCGTCCAGAATTATGTCAAACATTTCCTGAAAGCAATTGTTGCCGATCAGATTGTCAAGAACTCGCAAAAAAATCTTACCGGAGGACATTGTGCTAACTTTTCAGCAGCCACCATTTGAACGTTTAAATTGCGACTCTGTGACTTGCCGCGAGATTTAATCAACCGTTGGAGAACCTTGTAATTTAAAAGTGATTAAAAATGAGACCTATTTTTTTGTAGAAGCACCTTACTTTTGGCGAAGACACCTTGACGTAGACAAAAATAGGCGCAAGTGAAGTTTTGGCAAGTTGTGAAGGGTTATTGATGGTGTCACAGTCTAGAACAACTAGTTGCATCGTTCGGGCCAGTTCGAATATCCTTTCAATTTCATTTTGTAACTCGGCTGTGTGCAAAGGAGACAACTGAATAAATGAATGCTTGATGAATTAGATGACTTACCTAGACTAGAGTTGCGGCTCTCTAGCCGGCCATACTCGAGAATTGGTCGTTTGTTGGGATTGTTTAGTGCTGACCGTTTGGCCATTGAGATGTCGATCATTACCCGAGTGATGATGATTCGCCCTTCAAATCGGCGTTTGAGGTAATCAAAGAGCGCCTTTTGCATCATGTCAGTCACTTCGTAGCCCTTCAAAGACGGTCCCACAAGGACAACTGGTCTCATTGAAGGTACTACGTCGTACGGTGGCATGTGCTCTGACTGAAGAAATGTACTCTTATTAATGCTGATTTTAGCCAATTAGCCACTTGCCTTTTTGAAAAATGGTTTCCTACGCTCTTTGACTGGTGGCGTTGTGATTGATGATTTGTGACGAGGATTATTCTCGGCATCTTCTGGACGCTCTGATAGGTAAACCAGTAGTAATGCATTGAGTCAATCGAGGAACATTATTTACCTGTAGTCGGCGAATTGGCATCACTCATGTTGGATTTAAAGTGTTCATTCGAGTTTAAAACTGCAAAGTTGGAACCAGACAGTGATTTGGAGTAGATTTTGTTGCGATTCGTCTGATTCTGCTGCAGTTTGAGGCCTTCCAACTTAACTGGACTGGGAATGAAACCAATATCGCTGTCCTCCTTGACCAGGCGTCCAATCCACCACTCGTTGTTGTATTTCTACGGGTGTGTTAGACACGTTTATACTTTTTTCAAGTTGTCATTTACCTCTTTGATATGCAAAAAATCTTTAATGCCAAATGAGATGGCATAGCCGTGAATGGGAGAGTCATCGTCCACGCTTCCATCGTAAGAAACGTTGGTACGAACTGCAAATGCTACCGGTTTGGTCTGAAGAGAAGTGTGTGCTTAGAGAATTAGAGTACAAAGTGTAGAGCAACAAAATCGAACGTACCCTAGCTTTGTCCAATTGATGCAGCGCCAATCGTTCAGTTCTGGCGCGTGATTCACGGTCCTCTCGTTCATCCAGCTGAGTCGAGTTGTAGTTGTAGTCTGGGTTCAACGAGTCCTGTGCACGGATCATTGTCAATCATCAGAAGGAATGGCCATCTTTTAAGGCTAAAGCACATACAAATTTCATCATTGGTCAAATTTGACCCGCGTTGAAAGCGGCAGCAAATGTGGTGATCCAGGACTGCCGTTGGCGATGTGCCAAGAGAATGGTATGATTGATGATCACTGAACTGACTGCTACCATGACATCACTGGTTGATGCAGACAAAAGAAGGTGCGCTCAAGAATGCTGCAGTTAAAAGCAGATGAAGAAGATGAATGAGTGGTCGCTCGCTTGAGTTGATCATCGCTGATGCGGGAGCATGGCGACAAAGCTGAAGCAGTACATGTGTCACAACATTGGAAGAGAATCACTGGTGGAACACACAGAAAGGGCACACTATTTCAAATGGGAAATAGCGGTAAATACTGCATGGGTGACTCAGGCAAGACGGACGCGAGAGCGCGGCTGTTCCTCTTTTCCGCTTTCGATTTCCACTCCCGAGAGAGGCACTTTAGTTGGATAGAGGAATATCAGCGGTGGATAGAGGCAGGAGGCAGAAAAGACTTCGTCATGACTGCACGACCGAGTGCAAACAGTGAAGTTGTAATAAAAAGAATCAATTGCCACAATGGAAGGAGAAAGAGTGGTAAGTTGGGTGGTGTGAGGGGCGCATCGGTCGGCGGCGAAGACAATCCGCAATGAATTGGTCGGGCGTTGCGCGCCGACATCAAGTCTTGACTCTGACCGAGAAGAGTTGGCTCCTCTTGCGTCTGTGTCTGTGTCTCTGTGGTTCACTTGTCCCGCTTTAACGGTGCCATGTTGTTTATGTTTTCAACCCGACAAAAGCGAATTTAGAAAGCAGTACGCAGCCTGTACGGAACTGCGCGTGATATAGAGCAGAGGAGAACTGAAGACGTCGCAAGTGAAGAAGGAATGTATTCAGGGCGTCAGACAGACAGACAGCAGAGCAAGACAGCGGAGATGAAGAGTCGTACAATGAGCACCAGGCGCCAATTGCTAGCAGCAGAAGCAGCAGCCCGGCAGAATTGGGCGCCTGATTCTTAGACAGACTAGTCGACTTGTGTCTTGTCCTCCTCGCTTGTCGAGAACAAGCAAAAGGACGCCCTGCAGTGCCCTACGGTGTGCACGGTTGTTTGCGGCGAAATACCGAAGAGGGGCACTATCACTGGCATCGGTGGCACAAAGGCAACACCACTTTGATACACAGTTCTTCACTGCTGACTGCCACTCCGCCGAGACTGCACCGCCACTCCAACTTCACTGGCTGCTTCAAGTCATTGCCAGCAGTAAAGAGCTCGCAAAAGAAGGAGAAGAAGAGGAAGAAGAAGAAGAAAGAGGCATAGTGCTGGCTAAAAGCAAGCAATCAAATTGAAACTGCACAGCCATAAAAGTGCGCTGCCCTATCCTCTGATAATTAATAATTCACCGGCACTTGACACAAGCGCTCTCGTAAAATTCATAAATATTAAAGTAGACAAAGAGAATTGCACTACAGCGACTACTACTACTGCCATTGCCACCAACACCACCGCAACCTCCACCACCACCACCGTCATCATCATCATCAGGCTGACTGAACATATTATAATACTAGAGAGCTTTAGTAATCGGTGATGAGTAGTGACGATGGACCGCTCTTCCTGGACATGCCTCCCTCATTATCACCTCGTGAATTCTCACATGATTCTGTGAGGTTGGTTTGAAAAATAATTAGATTGAGAATGACCAGTGGGCTATGTGAAGGGCGTAAAGCACATTAAGAAGGAGGGTGTTGGCTAAATGAATCAGTGATGAGTTGGGTGGGCACTAAGTCGAATGTTTAATAGAGAGGTTAGGGTGATGAGAACACAAAGGAAGTAAAGAAGAGTTGGGCCATCCTGAGTATAACTGACCGCTTGTCATCGAACATCATTGCAGAACTGTTTTAAAATTGATAAAAATCAACTAGGTTTCGACTGTGAATCAGTGCACAAGTCATCGCTGTTTTCTGCAGAAAAATTGATTGCTATACCACTTTAGAAATTGTAGGTTTCTTTCAGAGAAGCTCACTCTGCCTTTGAATCGATCCAAAAGTTACATGGACGACAGCAATACACTTTGCGCTTGTGGAATAAATGACTTGCCCACTAAAAGACTGTTTGCAATTGTCACTTGGCTTAGAAGGAGCGCTTCTCTTTCGAACATATTCAAGTAAGTTATGGAAACTTGAATTGTTAATCAATAGTAGAGCAGCCACCGCTGGAGGTGGCTGAAGGTGGCGCATTAGTAGTGACTAGTAGGGCACAGCAAGTGGAGTGCTTCTCTGTGATAAATATACAAATGTAAAGCTGCCATTCAAGCTGACCAAGAAAAAAAGCTACTAATAAAATAATATAAAATAAAAGTGAAACGTTCAATGGATTCGAACAATCACAATGGCCAGCCACATCACCACCACCACTTTGCATGGTCACATCCGTCTGTGCTCAATTTCGTTCGCGTGCCCAGTTCACGAGTGATGGAGTCGCTCAACTTTCTCTTCCACAGCAACACCGGCTGCCTTTTAAGACCGACATACTTTTCCACTTACAGGTAATGAAGGCTTGTGTCAAACACGCTCTGCAGTTCGCTCCAAAAATGGGATTGGTGTCCGGTTTGTACGGTGCAAGTTGATGCGAGTGAGCGCTTCACACTTTGCTGCTCACAGCCGTCTGCTGCCACCAGGCTTGCAGTTGGTGTTTTTATTTTTATCAGTGAGTGTGTGACTTGCCGAGTTGCAATCACCAACACACACACTCATACACACGTCCGGCATCAACGTCGACTGTTTTATTCCACCCACCTCAGCAGACAGGACGAAGTTTAAGCCGTCTGAGGTCCTCACCGTTGCTAACCCCTAGTCTTCGATTTTATTTCCAATTTGTAGTCGGCCCATCAAGCTAGACACCATTGTACCGCAATCCAGTTCTTGGTCGATAACGCCGATTGTTGATTGGAGCAACCATTACCTGGATCCTGGTAATCTCCTGCCCTTCTCGGCGCCTCCAGCACTGATGGCTGGCACAATGCAGCCGTTGCAACTCTCCAAATCCATCAATCAGTCAAGACCAGTTATGATGGAAAACAAAAAGTCCTTTATGCTGGACGAGGAGGAAAATTCGATCATATTTAGTCTTTTAGGTCGAAAATGCCTTGTAAGTTTTGTCGCACACTTGATGCACTTTTTGATTTGAACAATTTCATTTTGTTTCAGACGCTTTCTACTGCCGTCGTTCAACTTTTGGTGACTTTGCCTCCGCAGCACATCAAATGGAATCACAAGTGTACTGGGGTGGTGTGCTTTGTCAAGGATAACCCGAAACGTTCTTACTTTATAAGGGTTTATGATATTGAGGTAACTATTTAATATTTTTTTGTTAACCCACTACTAACTCTAGTTATTATTTAGAAAAGAGAAATTGTTTGGGAGCAAGAACTGTACAGCACTTTTGAATACAAAGAACAACGATCATTTTTTCATACATTTGAAGCTGACGTACGTAAAAAAGTAACTTTTCTAAGCTAGTGAATGGTCAGTTTTTAAATTTTCAGAACTGCATGGCTGGTCTTAACTTTTCTAATGAAAATGAGGCACGCCATTTTGCTGATACAGTTAAAGGAAAGTTGCAGAATAGACTTGCCAGACGACATGGTAATAACTTTGTAAATAAAAAATGTTTGCTTTACTTAAATTCTCATTTTCAGACAAGAAACCAAATCACAACGCAATGCAACCAAACATTCAGCCAACGGAACGGGGGCTTATCAGTATGTATTCAAATAATTATGTGTGTAGCTTTAAAGATCTTCAACTGGGCATGCCATACTTTCTATGGGCACAACATTCAGTCCCTGCTAAACGTAATCTGGCTTACACACCAGTGGGATGCTGTGTCCTACTGATTTGTAAAGTTGGGTTTTTTATGGTTTACAACTTCACAAACTGAAGATTCCATGTTTAATTCGGCTTTGTNCATGGGCACAACATTCAGTCCCTGCTAAACGTAATCTGGCTTACACACCAGTGGGATGCTGTGTCCTACTGATTTGTAAAGTTGGGTTTTTCATGGTTTACAACTTCACAAACTGAAGATTCCATGTTTAATTCGGCTTTGTGAGTCAGTGAAACACAATATCCTACTCGTAACGACAAAGCAGCAAAACCGCCGAAGACAATTTAGTGTCCTATCTGTTGCNTTTTACAACTTCACAAACTGAAGATTCTATGTTTAATTCGGCTTTGTGAGTCAGTGAAACACAATATCCTACTCGTAATTACGACAAAGCAGCAAAACCGCCGAAGACAATTTAGTGTCCTATCTGTTGCATAAGACCGGCTAACTTTGCGACAAAAATGAATTCATCATGCTTCGTTCATTCTAACATTACCTGTGTAAAAGGAAAGCTAATCTTTATTTCTATTTGCAGTGCCCGCAAAGCCCATCGAAACAAAAAGTTCTTCAAAGGAAAACCGAAAACAAGGGAAAAAGAAAGTCACAAAAGAGGACATCGGCATGCCCACCAACTTTCAGCATATTCATCATATTGGTTGGAATTCCCAAACTAACCACTTTGAAGCCAACAAGGAAATTTTCAACGATACGAACTTATTGACTTTCCTTCAATCGGCTGGTGTTACCCAGGATCAACTGCAGGACAAAAACACTGTTAAATTTATTTATGACTTTTTGGATCAACATGGTGGTCGTGACAAGGCCCTTGCTGAGATTGAGAACCCGCCGCCTCCTCCTCAGATGCCTCCGGTGGCGTATCCTACTTATAATCACAGCAAAAGCAATGGCAGTCATCTCCACAAGCCTGCACAAGGTGGACTTCCACCGCCTCCAGTGATGATTCCACCGCAAGCACAGCAAAAGCCTGCAGCGCCTTCTATTCCTGCAGCTCCAGCACCGCCACCACCACCACCGCCGCCGCCGCCTTCAATGGCAATGGCAATGCCGACAGTATCTTCATCGGTGTCTGCACCACCACCACCGCCTCCTCCGCCGCCGCCACCACCATCTTTTGGGGCTCCAAATTCTGCGCCTTCTGCTTCCGCTAAGGCGCCTTCCTCTGCTAATGCCCTACCTCCGGTATCCTCCGGTTCCAATGATGGTCACTCGGCCTTGATGGAAGCAATTCGCAAAGGATCCACTTTGAATCACGTTGAGCCAACAGACACTTCTTCAAACTCAAGCGGCGGTGGAGGCGGAGAGGACATTCGAGATCAACTTATGAATCAAATTCGACAGGGAGTCGGCCTGAGAAAGGTCGAGCCTAATGCCAACAAGGCTGAAGTGAGCAAAACGCCTACCAGCGGCTTGGCCGGGGCGCTTGCCCGTGCACTACAGGAGAGATCTCGTGCAATTAATCAGACGGATGATTCGAGTGATTCCGACTCGCATAGTTCTGACGACGAATGGGACTAGACAGTGAGTCAAGTCGCAACTGAAAGTATTTCACTACGGAACATCTTGGTATTTTTATATATTTTTTATCATTGTTTTTAGCACTTGTGATGCGATTTTAAATGTTTTTAGACTGTTACTTGCCCAACTTTGAAATATATAAATGTTGCTACTCCACAGCACACTCCACAACATTTTATGTCCTTTGTGTTGCTCAAGTGAAAGATGACTAGTTTGTTTCAGCGAGCGCCTCCCCTCTATCTAGAAAATGACTCGCTGAAATGGAAAAAGCTCGCTCTCGTTCATCATCTGACCCGTCTCGGGAAGAAAGCTGTGTGCTATGTGTGTGCGGTGTCTGGCCCTCAGCCTCAACCTCTGCCAGCAGTTCTCGTCCAGGGTCGACCGGGCACTGGGAAAGTTGTGTGAATCGCGAAATGCTTGCACGTGAAAGAGGCCAAGAGCGACAATTGTGTGCGCGGGTCTGCGTGTCCCTCTTTGTGCAGCGATCCTTGCGAGGGTAGTCAGGCCGTTAGTTAGGCCGTCTCTGCTGCTCGTGCACACCTGCGAGGTCAAGTCAGCCACTGCGCCAGCAGCAGCAGTCAGACAGTGAATGAGTGCCCGGGTCGTGTAGGTGTTGTGTGGTGCCTCGTGCAGCAGTGTGCTCCCTTTCCCTCTCTCTCCCTCTCCCTGGCCGACCAGTGGCCAAACATTCCACTGGTCATTATTCGCTCAGCACCTTTCACCCCTTTTGGAGCGCATTTCCATTTCGTTCCCACACTTTCTTCTTCGTCCAGTCTAGACAACTGATTCAGGGAGCATTGTCACGTGCAGTGCGTGCCATTGCTGCAGCCATTGATGGTTGGAATGTGCACCGACTGAAGACACACTCACTACTGAGCTGTTGGCCCTAGCAGGAGTCATTACAGGCACTCAAGATTATACAAGTCAGCGAAAAGAGTCTCTTTGGAGCAACATAAGCACCACCAGCAGCAACAGCAGCAGCTGGTTACTGTCATGGGGAAGGAGCACTTGCGGGCATCTGCAGTGGCAGTGGCAACGCTCTGATTGTTTATTTTCTTTAGCTGTCTTTGCATCGCACACTTGGACCCTCCATCTGCCTGAAAGTTTACACTTGTCTACCAAGAGTGATGTTTGTGCAGAGGGAAAAGGGACCATCCACTGCACATCCACTGCACCTCATGACCGGTCACAGTCTTGGCGAACATGTCTAGTCTCACTTTTCAAAACCGGATGTCCACTGCAGTTGCGGGCAGCCTCTCATGGCATTTTTCGTTACTACCACCACCACCACAACAAGCACTTGACTTGATTGGTTATTGTCAAAGTCAGTTAGAGTTGACATTCAAAAGCCAAAAAATGCTGCTAAAGGGCATCTTCAAGCTACTTCAGTTTTCAGCTGGATTGTCTATTACTTTGAGGCGAACAAATAATTGAGTGTTAGTGTTTGGAAGTGAATAGTCACATTTTGTGAAACATTGTTTACTTCTTCGCAACTTATTAATAGAAAATGGCACTGGCGCGTGTTTATTTGTCAACCTAATTAACAAGGCAGAAGAGGAGCTCTGCTGCTCTTGCCAATCGTCAGCTATGTGCAATTTGCAATCCATCTTGTGAGCATTTCCCCGTCTCACTTCCGCACTCGCCGCATCCCCACCAGTGGCAGTATGTGTGTGTGGAGCAGTATCCGTAAATAAACATCATCTTGGTGAAGCACTGGCACTGCAAACCCTCTCTGTCCAAAGTCACATTGAGAGAGAGCTCTCATTTTCGCTCTTCTTCCAAAGTTGGTCTGTCTAAAGCTAACCGTCGCTGAGCTTTGCAAGTGCTTCGCCACTTCAGTGCCACAGTCTGCATTGGCACAGTACCTCGGCGCTATCGCCTGTTGTCTTGCCATGCTGTTCATTCTTCTGGTTCGCTGCCTCGGCACCTACCTGTCAGCTCACTCAAGTCGAACATTAAAACGACTGTCAAGCTGACTAAACTCAAACGGTACTGTTCCCCTGACGACGCCGCAGCTAGCGTGTCGTTACATTGAGCCGAGTCAAGTTAATTGGCCAGTCAGGGTTTTGTCTCAGCCGTTTTCAGCCGTTGCCTTTAGCAGGTAAGAAGCGGTGGTGGTGGTGCAACACCCTTCACGACGGCAACAATGCGCCGGAAATGGCGGTTTGTGGCTGCCAGCGACTACAGCAGGAGAAGCAGTTCAGATCACTTGAGTGCATTCTGGCAGCACTGTCGCAGTGTCCATTAGCATAATAATCATAATAACATGTCATAACAACAATCGATTTGATTGCCGCCATGGGAACGTGTTTATCATCAGCAATTCACATTCCCTCTCGGTAGCATCTGTGTAGAGGAGATGCTGCTGCTGCTTCTGCTTCTGCTTCTGTATCTATCAAAAGCATTTATTCACTCGACTGTGACCGATTCTCCACCAAAAACTAGCCTTGGTATTCGACTTGCTTTTAAAAGTCTGCTTTCAGTCTATTCACTTGTCCTACTGGCTTGGCACTGATTTTAGTAGTACGCACAAGTAGGCATCTGTGCCGCAGTTTAGTGCTTTTGATTTGATCCAACCATTTTTGATAGGCTATCATTACACGCAACATTTTTTCTTCACAAGTTGGTGCGCAACTTCGCTGTGCAATCTTTCACCTGTTGCAATCGATGGAACATTTTGACGGCCCATTGGAATATTCCTCATCACCAGTGGGCTGTTCTCTCTCTCTCNTGGCTTGGCACTGATTTTAGTAGTACGCACAAGTAGGCATCTGTGCCGCAGTTTAGTGCTTTTGATTTGATCCAACCATTTTTGATAGGCTATCATTACACGCAACATTTTTTCTTCACAAGTTGGTGCGCAACTTCGCTGTGCAATCTTTCACCTGTTGCAATCGATGGAACATTTTGACGGCCCATTGGAATATTCCTCATCACCAGTGGGCTGTTCTCTCTCTCTCTCTCTCTCTCTCTCATCTGCAGGCAGATTGTGCTCCATTTGCCTTCATTGCACGCTTCACTGAGCATTTAAAGAAGAAGTGCAGCACAAGTGGAGCAGTGGCTGAACCTTCCCGTCGCTCCTTTGCTCCTTCGCTGCTGCCGCCTTCATTGCCTTGAACTACCGCGTGCAGTGGCCACCGTCGAGTTCGATGTCCGTTCAGCCACTGCAGTCAGTGATGACTTTAGCTGCGCTCTCAGTGCCATTTGATCTACTTTCTCGCGTCGCTCTCACCCTCGCGAGTGTACCCAATTGAGGATAGTAATTCTGCTGCACAGTATTTGCATGCTGCGGGCTTCTCCCAGAGAGAAAGACGTGGATCGTCAACTGCCTAATGGCACTTGGCATTGATCGCAATTCATGGCAGTTTTTGCACTTGCTTAATCTCTGCGTTGTGTGCTCAGAGAGCAGAGAGGGCCAACAGCACAGCTTGACTGGTGCTTGCTGCCACAGAAGGCGGACATCTAATCCTCCCGATCTTCTGGACCACGTGTGACCGCCACCGAACGACCAACTAATTGAGGCAATTGCACTGGTGCAGCAGCGTCAGTTTTGCTTCATCACCGCCAGTGCCACTGACGACTGGTGACCGTCAAGACGACACACAGTCGCTCATTGACACTGCTGGTGTTTGGTGTCAACGCAACTTTACTGCCTTGATCATTCTCAGAAAACTGGGGTCGTTGAGACAACACACAACTGTTTGGTGCAAGACTGAGCCACATGTTGCTCGCTTGCTTGATGCTAGCTAGCTCACACCGCTTTATCCTAATTGCACTGCTTAAAATTACTGGCTGCAAAGAAAGTCACAACAAGCCCTCTTCGATTCGGTCCGCTCCAACGTTTTTCCCCTCATGCGATGAGTACTAGCATGGCAAAAGCAGTTGGCCCTAATTAAAGACGGCTCCTGTTTTGTTAGTGGTGATTGTGAATTGGTGCAAGTGCAGTGACTGTGTGTGTGTGCGCCAGTGTTCAGTGATTTGCCACCAACTGTAGCCTATTGAACCTTTTAGTTGTTGACTCTGCTTGTGCATGTTGACACAGCCGTCCTAAGGCTCTAAAGCTGTCTTCTGTAGGTTTGCGAACCACTAGTGAACACATCTCGCCCGTATTTGCTGCTACAGGATGACATCAAGGCGTTGTCTGCATTCACAAGCTGTGCAGCTCTATTGTTGTAATCTTAATTTGCTCAAATCATTTCATCAAAGTTGACTGTGCCTGTAAAGCACCGTAAACTTGCCCTGTTCCACCAATCAGTGTGCTTCCCACTAGCCCATTTCACTGACACTTTGCACGTGCTCTCCTGTTGTTGATGTGCCAAGGTGCACGCGATTCAAAATGTAATTTATGTGTTGCCATTTGCTGCATCACAATCCGCTTATTTAGGAGTAAAAATTCGAGTAGACTGCTTCATTCGGAACTATTAATAAATCGGCCAGCGACTTAGCTGGATTACCTTGAATTAACGTCTTTTGCACCGTTGTGGGGCTAAACTTTTTTCCGACGTCGCTCAAATATTCAAATGATTTAAGCTGCATACACTTACAGTTTGGTAAAATTAGACACAAGTTTCACTTCATATTGACTGGCTCAGACAAACTCAATTACTAAACTGTCTACAAATTGTGAGCCTCTCATAATCAATTTTAGTTGCACTTTTTCCCTTATCGGTTTTGTTCACTGTCATTTGTAGTAGTGCAAAAAAGAAAGAGAGACTCACAAACAAAGCTTCTTCGAAACTACCTTCAAAACTGAGCGTCGACTAACAAAACAAAGGGTGTCGAGTCATGGTAGAAACTTCCACTATTAGATAAAAACAAGTCAAAAGTNGCTACCTTCAAAACTGAGCGTCGATTAACAAAACAAAGGGTGTCGAGTCATGGTAGAAACTTCCACTATTAGATAGAAACAAGTCAAAAGTCACTCAGACAGTTTTTCAGTGCTGTCTGAGTGACTCTTGAAAAGCCTTGATCGCGACAAGCCGTCGTCGAAGTCGTCGTAT